ACCTATGTGCTTGACACAATGGATGGATGGATGGATTGTGATAAGAATTGTACAAGCCCCCAATAATATGATTTATAAAAAAAAAAAGGAATGTGTCGAGTGGCTTCCCATGATAAAGACAGCTACACAAAACAAAACAATTCGGCATTTGGGCAGGTCATTGAGAGCATTAGGCATTTGTGTGTTTTGGTGTGTTCTATGTGAGTCACAGGACTCCAGCACTTAGGTTCAGGAGACAGAGAGGCCATTGTGCGGAGAGCTGTCTGCCCTGTGGCTTACAAGGACCATTCCTCGTCTGGGTACACAAAGCTCCTGGAGAAACTGCATATTCTCCATTGCAATGAATGCCTTTCTTTGCAGCTGTGAGCTAATAAGGGCATTCTAAAGAACTGAAATCTCCCTAGTTCTCCCCCTTGTCCTGTCCCTCCCAGCTTCTCTCGCTGGGGGAGGAAAGGGCATTTTAAAGCACCTGGTCACTCCTAAGGGTGTAGGCCTCTCCTGACTTTTCATTGATGGCCAGAGGGTGTTCCCAGTTGGGTGGGGGTGGGAGGGGGGGCAGCCTGGGAGAGGACGACCACCCTAAGTCAATGTGGTGAGGCTCACCACCTGGGCAACTCTCAAGTACTCTGTGAACACGCGATGTTGAGGCAGCCTAGCAAAAGAAACTCCGTGTTTTGTTAGCTAAGTGACTTAGCCGTTCCTCCCTCCCATCTCAGAAAGGTGACTGCTAGTTGACCTGCCCCTTCTCCCTCCTCTTCTGGGAAAGTCTCTGCTGGTGATTAATTTTAGACTGTACTCCCATGTTCCCAGGCTCAGGACACTAAAATTAGTTTAGACTATTCAATATATCGTTTGATTATTTTTCAATACTGTTCCGTCTGATGTTGTCATCTGAATGGTGTAGTTAATCTTGTCATGCCAACCAGGATGTTACCATCAATTTTTTTGTTTGTTTTCAGGTCGGTTAATTTTTTTAAACTTTAATTATTTATTTTATAAATCATTTTATTGGAGGCTCAGTTACAATCAATTTTGGTATTTTTTTTTATGACAGTCTTGTGATGGTAAGCAGGATGTTATAATCAATGTGGGTAAAATTTCTTTTATGATAAGGAATGTACGTTGTAACGCATGCTAACTTCTTGATGTCACAATTAATCCATTAATTTTGCTTTCTGTTTCTGTTCACGCTTGCTTGAACCCTAGACAGGTGATAAGTGATTTTTTTGGCTTAAAAGGTAGACTGTGAACTTAAAAATTCACTCAGGGATGCTATCAAGAGAAACTTCATCTTTAGTTTCACAGTAGCCCAGCTAACTTCTAAGAAATTTCAAGACATGATAGTGGCTGTCCTCTATTTGAACCCGCAACAATGTAACTCCCATCTTTCTTGCTAGGCCCGTATGGTCAACTTGGAGACCTGAAAGAGCCAGGTCGTCCAAAACAGGGCCACACAGGAGCAGCAGAGGGGCTCCGTGGCCACCCCTGCCCACACCCAAGGATTCACAGCAGGCATGTGGCCTGGCCGCCTCGTTCCCTGATACCCAGGGTCTGGCTGGAGGCAGGGTGGCAACTGCAGCTGTCCCGCCCTACGCTTACCCATGCTCTTTGCTCAGCTGGCCTCCAGGGACATGGTGAAGAAGACAACAGTTGTCGGTGAAGACTGGATAGATGGACCAGTTCTATGGGCAGATCAGGCTGGACCCGAGGCCTGTCCTGCGCAATGCCTGGTTCACACTGAGGCTTCCTAGGGTCTTGCTATGCATCTCCCTTGACTTTACTGTTTCTCATCCCTACCCTGTGTCAGCTGGGCTCGGGGAAGGAAGGCTATGTGCACCTAAGGTGCAAACATCACCACCGCCTGGCTTGAAACCTACCCGGGGACAGTGCAAACAGCCCTAAGTTAGAAACCTCTAAGGACCGGTGGCAAATGACTCCGCCTTAGCACAAGGCCTTTGATCTTGTGTTCAAAATAGGGGTCGTTGAAGTGAGCGTGTGAGGGAAAGGCTATGTTGCCAGGCATTTAACATGATGGCCCCCAAAGAGACATTTCACAAGAACGTTTCTCATGAAAATAAAAAGGCAGCCTTGTGTTCTTGTCAAAGGAAAGTAGAAAATGTACAAACTCAATGCCATTGAGTCACTGCCGACTCAGAGCAACCCCGTAGGACAGAACTGCCCGTGAGTTCCTGAGACTCTTTAGGTGAGGAGAAAAGTCTTTCTCCCAAAGTGTGGCTCGTGCCTTCGAATTGTGGGCCCTTTGGGTCACACCCCAATGTGTTACCACTACATCACCAGAGCTCTGAAAATGTTTAAGATAAAGACAAGAACAACAACAACAAAAACTCTTACTCCCCAGTCCTTTCTGGCCTGTTCCTCTATGCAAGTGTTAACAAGCACACAGATACTAGGCGCCCAGCGCACCTGCAGTTCTACTTTGCTTTGCCCCCCAGAAGGTGTTTTGGGTAAACAGTCTTCAAAAGCATACACTGACTACAGGATATTTTGTCATAGGGAGGTGATAACTCTAGCCATTCTCCCACTGCGAGGCATTTCAGCAATGGCTCACGTTCTGCTCTTTGGGACAGCTCTTGCTCGTTAAAGTACAATGAATTCACTCATTATAGTTTCCATATCTGACTACTAGGAAAAGTTCAATAGCAGCTCAGGAATTTGCATGTCATCCTTGGCTAAACTTTCTAATTTTAGTATATGCACTGCCCAAGCAAGCACAGAGTTCAATAATGTTCCACTTATGACTGGCACTCTGTACTGCACGGTTGTCCATCAGTCTGTGTGACACTGTGTACGACTCACCAATGATCACAGACTAATCGCTAGTTCTCTCGGGCTTCTGCCTTGCAAACCTCAGATCTCTGAAGAGCTGACGATCAGCATGAGGCCCTCCCTTCAGCCCCAGCCAACATCTTTTTAAATGAGAGCAATTGGGCCATGGGGAGGGTTCCCAGAGCTAGCCAGCCTCACTAAGCTGTCCCGCTCTGGTCCCCCCACCCTTTGCTGAGCACCCCTTGAGCCTGCTCTCACTCCAGATCTGTGTCTGAGGCAACACAAGCAGCCAGTATTTGAAGAAGCATTCATCAAAGTTGTATCTCCTAATTCAGTCTGTACCACAGCTTAAGCAGCCACTTGCATTCGTTAATCACAAATCCTATTATAACTTTTTCGATTCACTTTAGTTTGTATTTCATAAACATGAAGTTTCAATGATAAATTGTTGTGAACATTTTCTGTAATTCCTAAGTAATTTGAACTTGTAGTGTGATTATAAGGGGGGGAAAAGGTATTGGGTGAATAGTTTATTTAACTACACTCTACGCTACAAACACTGTCTGTCAGTGGAGGCTTGTCTGTTGCAATGAGGCGAAACAGGATCCTGCAGAACTTTGAGACAAACCAAGAAAGGCCTGGGAACCGACGTGTGAGAATCAGCCCCTGAAATCCGTGTGGCTCCCACAACAGCTCGATCCCCGCCTGATCACGGGAATGTTGTAGGATCCGGCAGTTCTGTTGTGCCCAGGGATGCCGTGGGTTCAGGGCTTGCTTAATAATAGCTAACATCACAGCAACAAGCTTGCATTTCACTGAGTTTGACTTTTAAAATCCTAGTATCAAGTGCTTAACTGCATAGGAAAAATGATTTGGAGCCTAGAAATTAATCTACGATCCAAAATATTTCTTTACTCAGCCCCTCCATGGTTTTGTGAGGTCTCTCTCCTACTGGAATCCAACCTCTCCCATGAGACTCACTTTCTTTTTCTACCACAGGCCCCAGCTCAGGCTTGGTTACAGCAAACACTTCAACAATGCTGAGGTGAAGGGATGGCAGATCAGCAGTCAGAAAACACCCATTCTGTATTCGTTTACCCCGTTACCCTAAGAGCACTGTCGCACTCAAATGGATGTGAACGCATGAGCGCACTTGGGGAACGCATAAAGGCTCATGTTTCTGGATCTTGAAAGGCGCAATAGCATTTTTATGAAAAATCGGAGTAAGGCCTGTGAGGAAGTAACACTCAATTTCTCTTAATTTCTGTACAAATAGCTGCTATCATGAAGATTGTCAGAAATTCACTGATGAGGGAAAGGCTCTTTAAAGTGACTTAAATTTCTCCTGAGACTTAAAAGAAAACCAACGAGAGCATACTAAAGTGTGTATGCTTATTCAAGGGGTGGGGAAGCCTGTTAGACATCAGAAGGGAGATCTTACGGGTCAAGGTTCTAAAAGGGAAGGTGACTTAGACGATGGGGGGAATATAATGCATCACCTAAGGAAGAAAAGGCAGCGTATGGAAACATACCTCATACAGCTGGAGTTCTGGCCTGTGCCAAGAATGAACTTAATATAAACAAAGGTGAGACTAATGCAAAGGAATAAACACGTAGGGGAAAGTCAACGAAAAGTGATGTTAGGTTCAAATCAAGCTGCAGTGCAAGGGACGTAGGAAAAGCTTCACTTGTAAGTGGACACAGAAGCAAACGACAGCTTGTGGGTTGAGTCAGGTTCCATCCAATGCTACACACCCAGCAGCTAGCACAGCGCCCAGCCCAGACACTCCAAAATTTACAGAACCTAATCTAAGGAAGGAGGTTAGAATATTTAACTCCTATTCACTTGGGGCTTTTTTGTTGTTGGTGGTGTTTGTGTGTGTGTGTGTGTGGGGGGGGGGGCGATAAATGATTTTCAGCATGAAAAATATGGAATAATATGAATAAGCAATATTGAAAAGACTACCCAGTAGAAAGTAGGTATCTTATTAAAATGGAAATGGAAGTACTAGAAAAAACATACCAGAACCAACCATTGCTCAAGTCAATCGCTGTTTCTTTGGGGTGTGACGCTCATGAGGGGCAATGAGTGAAACAAAAGTCAAAAAACGGGAAAACGAAACAAAAAGACTGAACAATATTTTAAACTTTTGTGGGGAAAAGATAACAGATTAAAAAGTACACCATGGAAGTCAATGTCAAAAAGGACAAGATCATTTTTATAATCATGAACTTTATTTTTATTTACTATACTGACATTTTCAAGAGATTTTACATCTGGTATTTATAATTCATTTTACAGGCATATTCTAATATACAGTATTTACTCTGAACTAGTTTTTTTAATCAATGGAAAACAATACTGCAGGTATTAAAGATTGTGGTGTTTTTGTTTTAGTTAGTAATGACGGAGAAACTTAAGTTCTTAAGGTCAGTATTATTTGTTATGGCAGCGTTTTACCAAGGAAAGCTTTACCCCAAGAAGATTAAAATACACGTCTCTTTGAGTCATGACATAGTTGGAGATTGACATCTACCATCATAGCCATTTATTCAAATATGTTCTTTCAAATTTTTGCAGCAGAGAAATGAAAGGGAGATGTGGAAAGACCATTTGAAAATAGAATTCAAGCATCAGAATGAATACAAATAGAAAGGCCATCATCCCCAGAGAAAAACATCAGGGGCTTATATTACAGCGTAGTTTATTATTAAATGTGTGCATAAGCAAGCATGCAAACATAACCACTCCAGCTCATTTAGCAACACAAAAACTAATGTGCAAGATAGAGAGGAAACTGAAACAGCGCTGCAGTTTTATAGATCTTGATCACAGGCCTATTTGGTGAGTCCAAAGTACAGCCCCAGGCCACGAGAGACCAGGAAACCATTATGACGGCTGCAGAAATCCGAGTGCAGCTTGTGTCTACACCACCAACTATGCCACCAGAACATTCAGACAGAAGCGCGGATCACATTTTCTTTGATACACGGAGTAAGATACTTATGGAGACAATGGAATATTCAAAGAAAACTTAAGTGCTTTAACGGGAAAAGTGACATGCCGGGGATGTAGTTCTGTGGAAGGCTGTACTGATTATGTTCAAACAGCAACAATGACAGAGAAATGCATTTCCACAAATGACGCCGGACCCATTGGGAGGCATTTTGATACTTCAGGCACAGCTCCAAGCAAGAAAGCGCATTTAAAGTGCAAATCTGGTATTCTGTTTCATATTTAAATTTAATTTGTTAAACTACTTAGTAAGGTCCTTAGTATCTATAATAAATACAATGAACAGTAGTCAATACACCAGGAAATATTGCACAAATGACAAGGAGACCCCAACAGAAAAATGCTAGTGTCAGTTATTAGAAAATACCTAAACAACTACATCTTTTACTTAATGCCTTAAAATCGTCCCCACCTGTACTGATGAATTCCTTTGGCCAAGCTTTCTTTCTTTAAAGAACTAATGAGTTATCTTATTACTAGCCAACTAGAGAATTCTGCATTCAATTTTCTTTCACAAATGTGAACTTTAAGCAACCATATTGGATTACTGACATACTGTTGCATTGGCATTTTGCATTTTATTATATATTATGACTATCATTTCTGATTAAATTGGAAAGATACACTACAAAACTTCATCTTCAGGAATTTAAATGTATGTACTGTAACCGTCTTCATCCAATCACAAGGACTGTGGAGGAGATGACTTACAGAAGCCATAAACCCATCTAGCAGATTTGAGGTGACCTCCAGTCATAGCCCCCACTTCCAGATCTGACTGAACATGTACTCACTAAGGAGCAGACGAGAAAATGCCTGCAGTTTTTTCAAGAGAACTGCAGGCAAAACTTAAGTTGTTTTGTGCAAGCATCTGACATAATTTTTTTCTCCTCAATTCATTATGCTTTATAAGTAAGTTAAATGAGCCTCTCCTCTTTCATGATTATGGCTCAGTCAGGTTGAACGGATAAGTTGATATATCTGAAAATTCATCCGGGAGAGAGAGAAAAAAAGAGGACAAAAATAGAATAAACAAATTCCTGGAGTCTACATCTTATAAAGTAGAATGTGAAGAGACTTCACTCAGATTCAGAGGTTAAAAATAAATTAAGAGTAGAAAACTTTCCCCCTAAAGATGAAGGGCGATGTGCGCATATTCCCTAAGTCTCTACCAAATTCCAAACAAACCAAGAACCCACTAATTTCACGTTTCTTCTTTACCTTAGAAAAATACGGAAGATAGCATCCCATTTGCAATGTCAGAGACCAGTCTTTGTTTTTTTAAAAAACCCTCAAGTCCACCTGCAAACGCCAACTGGACCGGCCATGCTCACAATCAGTTTCCAGGAACCACGGGGCTTTGCCGACATGCCTGATCACTCTGTGCTACCAGTGTCCGAACCGGGTGAGAACTCACCAAAGTTCGATGATTCTCTGCAGAAGTGCCGTCAAGCGAGAAGAAGACTCGATTTCAGTTGCTCTATTCAGCAAAGATGAATTCACTTGAATTGTTCATAGGTTAAGGGAAACTTGTGTCAAAATGGCAGCAAATGCCACTTTCAGAATTTCTGTTAAAGCATTTCCTTTTGATACTCTCGTAAAAAAAAGGGGCAGACCATCTCACCAATACACTTTTAAATAAAATCCGTAGCAAACGAGTGACTGTCTCTTTAACCATCGTTCCTCTTGATTCATTTTGATCAGCTTATCAAGACAAAAATTGGCCTTAGAAAGGTTATCTGTTTGAAATATATATATTTATTCCATTTAAAGCAGCCATAGGTGAACAATCTAAAAATGACATGATCAGGGAAGAGGAGGCAAACGGCCTGGTCTGGCCTGACAAGTAGCCAGCACCTTGATTAGCATCATGCACTTTGTGGTCCCTTGGAGTCCCCGTACCCACTCCCCCACCCCCAGCTACTTTCTGTAGCACAGCAAAATAAATAAGCATATTGCCTTTGAAACACTTTTTAATACCTTTTAATAGTACATAATTTATCCTTCGCACTTCTACTACTCTTACTAAATCCTGCCTACTTTTCAAGAAATTGTCAAACATCCTACAACATAAAAGGGAAACCTGGAAAACTCAGGAAAAATAAAACTATTACCAAGTCCAGATTTTCCCAAGGTAGTCTTACTTACAATTTATAAATTTTCCCAAAATATTTTAACTGGTTTTGTAATACAAAATAGTCTTAAATCCCTATGTGTCCATCATACTTCTGTGCAAACATTTCAAGTCCATTATTAGTCTTCAGACATTAGCAGAAAGTCAATAAATACAAATAGTACAATAAACACTTAATTTAAAATAGATGCTGTCAAATCTTAAAACAGCTATCATGGATCCATAAGCCTAGAGTTTCGTGTAAACTCTAGCACCAACATATTTCAGAAACAAATACCCCCCTAGGTATAGGTATAAGATACATCTTATGCTTTCTTTCCAAAATTTACCCAGAAGCAAATACAAACAACAAATGGTGTGTGGGGTGGAGTAGCTATATGGAGACGCTAAAGCAACATTTAATCAATTCATATATAATATGAAACATTTCAGCCTAGGAGATTTTTCAGGTAAATGAGTGAATAGTAACACTATCTTGCTGATCCTAGCAGGGGAAAGGAAAATCGACCTGATCTCCTTTACTCTTCACCGAGATTTTGCATAGACCGCTGAGTCATACAAAATACTGGTCAGACATCTTCCGTCATCACCAACATGTTAGGTAAAAGAGTAACCTTATTCACAGGAGTGGCAAGTGAAAACAGTTTCTCATAGCCACAATTCAGACAGACCCTACATACAACAAAAGCAACTCTGTAGAACAGAGTAGGACTGTTCGAGAGGGGGTCCCAGGCTGCACGTTTTACAGAAGCAGACTGCCACATCTTTCTCCTGAGGAGTAGCTAGCAAGTGTGAACCACTGACCTTGTGGTTCACAACAGGGTGTTTTAACCACTGTGCTACCAGGGTGACACTCTACCAACCTTAAAAGGGCTGAATTAGCTAAGCATATTTCTTGCCTGATAGTTGAGTACTATATATTTTATGATAGGCAGAGGGAGGATAACATGATTAGAGCCTTTGAGAGGCTGCTTAGCTGGGTAAGCAAACATATGCGTTTACCTGAGACAAGTATATTCAAACAGTATGTACTTCAACCTGGATATAAAATATAAGAGCCAAACTAGAACATTCCCCACTTTAATACGTTTTAATATTTAAGATTTGCAGGCTTTCAATGGAATCTCCACCGTGGTAGCAAAATGCACGAAAAGATATTACAGGACAGATGAGTTTGTTTTACAAAAGCAAAGTGGCAGGAGATGGCTATGTATTTAATGTATCTTTGGTTTCGGAAGACGAGAGCATCGATTGGTGGCCAAACAATCCCCAGAATGAAAACTACCATTCATAGTCTGCACGACCTCTTTTCTTCGTGTTAATGGTCTTGGGATGCTTGTCTTGGACTGGACAGTTGGAGGCTCCAGTCGGGGGTTGCTTATTTGTTTTTGTTTGAACGAGCTGGAAGGGGGTCGGAGTTTAGACACTTTCAATTTAGGATTATTTGTAAGATTTGTCTGACTAGATGTTGGCTGAAGTTTTGATGAATTACAGGGTGTGATTAGGGGTGATTTCTTACAAGTGTCAGTCTTACTTAGGGAAGATTCAGAGACTGGAGGCGATACCAAAGAATTCAAGCTGGGAGGCTTTGGAATTTGCAAGGCCTTGGGCTCTGATGCATGGCCCACTGGTGAAGACTGATTTCTTACAACTCTTTTAACCTGGTCTGCTGTACTTGATTGAGAAGGTGTTTGCAGAGAAGTGGGTATACATTGTATGTCACTACTGTTATTATTTGCCAAATGATAAGGCTCTGGAGCATTTGCGGTTATGTTCAAGTTTGCTTCAGAAGGTACACTATTCTCCATGTCCTTAGTCAGCTGTGGGCTTGGCGACAAAGGCAGGTCAACCAGACCACACTTGCTTTCTTGTTGCAAGCCACGTGTGAAGCTTTTGTCCAGATGTGCAACTCTCTGATGTGTGCCCCGGGGAGTGCATTCACTGTGGGCCTCGGTACGCTGTGGTTTTATTAGTTTTCCCTGGGCGTGGTGGTCTGTGGATCTGGGAAGGCTGTTGGAAGGCTGTAGTACTTGAGGCTGTGAAAATTAAAGACAACATTAGCAATAGCATATTTTAGAAATATCACACATTAATTAATACAAGCTCCAAATGTGCTTTTTGTATATATTATGATTTAATACAGGAAAAAGTATTTTTAATGAGAGAAATGAATTGCAATATTCCAGTGAATTCATGAAATGCAAACATAAAAAGGCAAGAAACACTAAACAAGAACCAAAATTAAACAAGGAAATGAAAACCTTAAAGTACAGGTTTTGGGGTAGAAAACAGTATTCTGCCTTAAATGACCGAGTATTAAAATCATACATCTATAACAGAGCTGACAGAATAAGTCCCATAGCACTTTTGGTTTAAGTTCCATAAAGCATTCAGACTGTAGCTAAAAGAACAGTAACCTTTTTTTCCCCTTTATTATAAGATCATCCTATTGGGGGATCTTACAACTCTTGTTACAATCCACACAAAAATTGTATCATATTTATACATATGTTGCCATCATTCTTCTCTAGACATTTACTTTCCATTGAGCCCTTGACATCAGCTCCTTTTTTCCCTCCCCCCGACCCTCATGACCCCTTGATAGATGATAAATTATTATTTTCATATCTCATACCGACTGTTGTCTCCCTTCCCCCCTGGTTTCTGTTGTTCTTCCCCCTGGAGGGGTGGTGTGGTTATGTACGTGTGCTGAACTTAAAAGAGAATTCGTCTCCATGTTAACACACTTAAGGAAGTTCTTCACAGTGTCAAACTGCTGTGTCTCTGTGAGAATCGAAATTACCAGTAGATACACAAGATTTAGAATAAAGGTTATATTTTCAATTGAAGTGAAACTAATTATTTAAATAAAAATATGTCAGTGAGGTGTTTTCAAAACCTGTGTGTCCTGTTTCACTGTCAAACAAGGGCCCAACTAAGGCTGTGTTATGCTGACATGCAGTAAGTAGGCAGATTTACCCTGCTCAAGAATGGACACTTATTCCCCAACCACACCAAACTCACTGCCGGTGAATCGATGATGCTGACGTACAGCAACCCTGCTTATTTAGGACATGAAAAATCAACAGCTTTTTGAATTATGGCTGAGAGTAAAACAAACTGAAATAACTTTTAATTTGAACTCAAGAGAGGCCTCACAACAAAGGCGTTGAGGACTGTCAACTGAGTGCTTAGGCCCACAAGCCCACTTCTCTAGAACCAAGTGTGTGGTTACTGAGCTCTGTGTGGACTCTAGACAACATGCCTTACTTGGGGTCTTTGGTAAAAGATGGCATATTTTAAAGTTCTCTGTCAATGGCTCAAATCATTAAATAAATATGGAGCAGGGCCTACTGGGCTTTAAAAGGTTCATGGGCAAATTCCATTATCTTTTAGATTCTTTTCCCACAAACTTTTGGAAGATTTTCTATGTACATGTACACACACACACACACACACACACACACACACACACCCTAAATCCACTGACACAATCTACACATGATCTCTAACTTCACTCGTAGATAAGGCAGACCTATTTATATTGCATCAATTGTACTTTTTCAGTTTCTTCATCTCCTTGACCAGCCCTGGAAACTTCTGGTGGGGGTTGGTGATCAGAAACTAATTTATGTTGGCACTAGAGAAGACAGAACACGGAAAAAAAAGCTCTCTGACTGATGGAGTGATGGTTGGCCAGAGGGCATAGGACAGACTTGCTACTTAAAAGATAAAAAGCAAGACAATGTACTCAGTATTAATGCTTATAGAAGTATGTTAAAGTGTTAATGGCTGTATGTTTAAAAACAACCCAACTTAGTATGACCTCAAGCTAAATGCCTCAGGCTTTACGCTTAATTGGACAGTTTCACAATAAATTAACACAGAGAATAAATTGTCCCAAGACTAAAGACAAAAGGTCATCCATCATACAGCTAATTGAGTAGACTCTTTGTGAGATCCCTGGGGAAAAAAGTGACCATGCCAAAATGGTCACAAATCTCAGCAAGATTAGCAACAAAAAAGCTCAGGATCTTATTCAATAAACCAAAAACTACTAAGTAAAGAGAGCAGTGGCCAGCGGGGAGAAAGGGGCAGCACCACACGGCTGACTGAATGGGAATTTATTTTCCTCTTTCACCTTAAACACAAAAACACAGTGTGATCTCCAGTTAGAACTCTTAGAGCAACTTAAAAACTTTCAAAATATCAGCAATAATTTAAGCAATGACTATTGCAACTGTCTATTTCTATTAAGAAAGGAAAAAATGACAAATGTGCTGTCGGCTCAAAATTGATGAGAAAAGTGTGTTTTTCAAATTAAGACAAAGTAATAAACCGATCAGGGCAGCCAAACGTGTACGAGGGGGTACTGTGAACTACATACAGGTGACTGATGTGCACTGTTCCTATGGCCACTGTGTGTCAGCAAGAGGTGAGTGAATACTCAAAGGCTGCAGCCACCAAAGGAATGCCGAGTGCCTGAGAAATTAACCATCGACTCAGACGGTCTTGTTTGGTTTGTGGGGATAGGTAACCGAGAGTTATAATCACCTTGACAGCAACTACTTTACATGCTAAAATATAGGTTTTTTTTTAGCTTGCTACAATTTCCCTATTCCCTCCAAAAGGTTTATTATTATTTATGTGAAAAATCTACTCTGGAAAATGAGTGCTACCACTGAAAAGCAAAAAGATCACTTTGAAGATAGAAATGTGACTATTATCTGATGGTCAAGGACAACTTGCTACTGTTTTGTGGAAGATCATGTACCTGAAATGACCTGTGGGCAAGCTACAAAGCAGGTATGTTCTTTGTTCTGATAGCTTGCTGCTTGCAGCACAGTCTCCTTACATTCTAACTCCTCAACTGTAGGTTTTAATAATTTGTCTTAAATCTACTACTGTCTCGATGATCATAAAATGGTATCCTCAGTGTTTTTACAATGAATTAAAAATATAAAAGAAAGCTCTGATAGCCTTGTGGATAATAAAACTACACAAATCAAGACCATTCATCAACTTTTGGGGTACCTCCTCTATATTCTAAGGAGTCGTGGTAATATAGTGGGTCACTGTTCATGTCAGCTTTTTACATCAACTAATCACTCCGTGGGAGAAAGATGAGGCTGTCTTCTGTAAAGATTTAAAGTCTTAGAAACGCAAAGGGGCAGTTCTACTCTGTGAGTCAGTATCAACTCAATGGCAGTTTTGAATTTGGTAAAGTTAAGGTTAAACTGATACAATTAGTCCCTTAGGGATATAAAATAGCTGGTATAGGAAGTCATGTCAACTATGTCCAGGTGGGCACATAATAGTTCACTGCTGTGACCCACCTGATCAGGGGGAAATGGCAGTAGATCAGGTCTCATTTAAGCCTCCACCAATGGCACAAAGTAGGGTGTACAAGGAAGAGTCACTTCTGCCCACATAGCTTTTGAGGCGGCACTGTTCCTTACAGAACTTTCTAATTGTACAGTCTTATTTTTATAAGTAAATAAAAGCTACTTTTCATGTGCAACACAGTAGCTGTAACAATGGGCTCAAACATAAGAACAATTGTGTGCATGGCGCCAGAACTGGCTCGTCGGCACCTCTAACAACAATAATGTTTTTATTAGCCCTGGTGGTGTAGTGGATTATGTGTTGCAGTGCTAACTGAAAGGTCACCAGTTTGAATCCACCAGGTACTCTGAGCAAGAAAGATGAGACTTTCTACACCTGTAATGAGTTACAGTCTCAGAAACCCACAGGGGCAGTTCTACTTTGTCCTCTAGGGTCACTATGAGTTAGGAATTGACTCAAAGACAGTTGAGTTTAGTTATTTGAATATGTTCAGGCTCTGAATCAGAAGGAAATCTGTTTATGAAGCAATTCATACTTGTTACTGATGCTTTTTCTCTAATGATCTCCTGGCTATCTAAAAATTGGGCAAAACCTGTGGAGAACCACACAGATTCTGAGGGCTGTCTTACAGTGATGGCATGGTCAAGTAGGATGTGTTGTCTTACAAAGTGACATGGTCAGGTAATGTGATCAGGTCATTAATCACAAGTGGATATAAAGTGAAACCATATGGCTGACTGGAGGTCACTGGAGACATCCAAGGATCACAGATATTGGTATTGAGTTATACTATTGTTTGAAAATTATATGTGGTTTCAGAGTTATGTGAATGTGTCAAATTGACAAGGGGTGGTCTGTGGTAGTTATATAATCATTTGTCAATTTGAGGATTAAGAATGTAGGGGTGGAGTCTAGCCTGTTAATCAGATTAATGCCAATGAGGCCTTTGTGTGGGCATGGCCTTCTCCTAAGAATTCTGGGGAATCCGGAATTTTTCCTCCTTGGAGGCAGGAGAGACTCTCTCTCTCACTACTTTACTCCTTGGGAGACATTGCAGCTGACAAGACACATGGAACTACCCTCGTGCCCTGAGTCGGACAAGCCACATGGATGCAACCAGACCTCTGAAGCCGCAAAAGCCACAGAGAGACCCCTGCCAGCACTGAGATGTTTACAACACCTCTGGACCCAAAGACTTTCGACCCACTGGCTTGTGATCGTCCTGCATTTGGCTTCATTGCATGTGTTTCGTGAATCTGAACAGGACTTTATAGATTGGTACCAGGCATATGGGCTAATATCAGACTATGGCCTTGGACTGGATTGGGTTGGGATGTTTTCTTAATGTACAATTGCTCTTGTATATAAA